TGGGCCACCTGGTTAGTCACACAACCCAGTGTCCATAAGACAAGACAGTCTGGAACCATAGGCAGCCAACACTCAGGGACCCCAGGGAGGCCGAAGGAAGTACTCCACCAGCACACAGCTCCGTTTCACTGCCTTCCCAACAAGGACTTCACCTGCAGCTGATGGGAGCACCCCAACGGGCCTCAGAAGAGGTAATTCCTGCAGGCTGAGAGGCCACCTCTCCCATGGGCCCAGCTCCTGTGTACGACTCAGCCCAAGACGGTTTCAGACTCTGAGACAAGAGGTGCTGGCCTTCCCAGCAACCTTGCTGGCAGCCTCCCTTTCTCAGCCCATTCTCTTAATAGACAAGAACAATGAGGTGGGGCCCTGGCCGCTGTGCTCAGTGGTTTGTGCCAAAGGGTCACAGGTTCAATTCCTGGTCAAGGGCACATAACTGGGTTACAAGTTCCATTTCCGGCCCCTGGTCAGGGCAGTCGGGGCTTGTGCAGGAGGCAACCAATCAATGTGGCTCTCTCACATCTGTCTGTCTATCTCTCTATCTCTCTCCCCCACTTCCACTCTCTCTAAAAATCAATGGAAAAATATACTCAGGTGAGGATTAACACAAAGAAAAGAAAAAAAAAAGGAAACCATGAGGTGTTCATCTGGCCATAAGTGACAGAGTTGGGGCTGCATCCTGGACCCACCCTTGGATCTGCCCCTCAGTCACAAAACTCTAACAGGCTGGAGGTGGGCAAGGGGGTGGGGGCAGCCAGGCTGAACGGAAGCTGAGGAACACCAAGCAGTTGGGGAGCTGGAAACACCTGCCATGTGGCCTGCCCCACTGGGGACTCCTGGTAGCTGCTGACACAGAACTCCAGGAAATTGAGGTCTGAGTCAGCAAACACTGCCCATCAGTGAGCCTGCAGCCAGCAGGGAGGGTGACCTTCCTGGACACATAGTGCATTCCCAGGATGCCAGGCCACTGTGGCAGAGGCCTGACCACTCAGGCTGCCAACATGCCTGTCTGCCTGTGCCAGCTATTAAAACACTAAGCCAAGATCGCCGGGTGGGGCCAGGGTGATGCACGGCCTGGGTCTCAGAAATAAGGGAATTAAAGCTGTCTGCGAGCCAAACCAACATTCCAGATGAGGTGGCAGAGGCTGCAAAGTCATCCTTGAGAGTCTGAGTGAATGTATCCACTCGCCCAGGAAAGATGTGCCCATCACAGAGGCTGAGAAAGCCACAAAGGAGGAGACCCAGGCCCGGAGAACCACTTTAGAGGCCTCAGAGAACGACGCTGAGGTCAAGACACGGATATGGACAGTGGCCTTCCCAGGAGAACAGCACACTTCCTGTAGGCCTGAAGCTGGCTTCCATACACCTTCCAGGCAATCCCACCAGACAACGGAGCACGGGCATGCTGCCTGCCTGCCCAGAAACCCCAGTCCCTACATCACAAAGAGCCTCGCCCAAAGATCCAGAAAACACCTGAACAGGGGGCCTATCTTCGAATATCCCTGGCCCAGTGGACACGTCAGAACCACTTCTCACCCACCCAGGCCAGAAGGATGCGCTTGTCTGCGCACAGCTCCGATGGCGGCTCTTACAGCTCCCTGGTGGGTGCTGATGGATCTGTGGGTAAAGACCCGCTGAATGTACTAACCATCCACTTAAAACGCTGAGGCACACAAAAAGGAGAACAGTCTGTGCACTGTCGACACTAAAGGGACCCAGAAGACACACGCCCCACTCTCATCTGCACAGAAGAGCCCGAAGCCCGAAGGGCTGAGCGCCAGCTGCCTGCTCCATGAAGGGAGCCCCTCACAACAGCCCGCCTCCCACCAGACAAGGGCCGAATCCCCACTGAGGCCAGGAAACGGCCCGGCCGAGGGCCACCTGTGCAAGGAGACTTTTCCTTCTTACATAACCCTCAGCGGAACTCCTCTTCTGGCAAGTCACGGTGGGCCCGCCGGAGGCGAGGGGCTATCACACGTGCCCAGTGTCCTCTAAAGATCACAGAGCTCGTCCGCTGGAACTGCCCGTGACAGAACGCCCTAGTTCTGCACTGCCAATAGCACCTGAGGAACTGTATCTTCAACTTTCCCTTCTTTGTAACTGATTTGCTGACGTAGGCCATGTGAATGGACCGTGAGCATGGGAGTGACTGTGTGGGCGCTGGGCAATACAGGAGCAGGCGGGACTGCAGAAGACAACGCTGGATTCCCTTCGGAAGCAGGGCCAGGAACGCTGCAGCGCGTCCCATGGCCTTCCTCCCCAGGGTGCACAGGGGTGTCTTTCCCAAAGCACTACCTGCAAACTCACCAACGGACAAACGAAAGAACTTGTGAAAGATTCATAGGACTCTGTCAGAGCAGTGCAGGAAGGAGTCATGCAAATCAGGGGGAACACCCCTCACTCTACAGAGAGAGAAACTGAGGCTTGTGGAGGTGACATAACTTGCATGAAAGTCACAAATCATCAGTCAGAAGGTTGCTTGAACCTCAGTCCAAAATGTTTTTCACTACAACTTGTTTCCTCAGTGGAGGACAAATCTAAAATTAACCAAAGAAATTGAGCTGATTTCAAGGCAATCCCCGTGAAACAGCAGGAATGTCTGACACACCACGGCTTCACTGTGAGCAGGGACGCAGTTCCCACACACACCCCAGGAGCCCCGCCAAGAGGCAGGAAGGATTCTAGGACCAGCACCGACTTCCTGTGGACACACCAAAGTCATCTACTAAAGGAGTGTTGACAGAGAAGCCCAGGAAGCAAGCCCAGGGATGTGCTGCTCACCTACACAGGTGTGAGTCACCTGCACGCCAGAATCTTGAAGATGCTATGAACTAAAGGGCAGACTCAGCCTCAAACACAGAAACGTGCTGACTCTCACCTGCCCAAGCAGCTTCCCCAGCTAGTCCTTCCCAGCCACTGCCTGGAATCACTGCACTCAGCCTCGGACGGCCAAGCACCTCCTCCAGCCGGTGCCCACCCTGCTCCGACCTCACCCACTGCTGCAGGTCTCCTTCACAAAGAGCTGCCAGCCGACAACCGGCCTGTAAATGCTCCACGGTGACAAATCAGCTCCCCTACACCTGATAGCCACAGCACCCTTAGAGCTGGGCATCTGTGTCACGGAGGACTGACCAGGACCAATACATATCAGACTTCCTCAGGGGCCTAAACCGGATGCCACCTTTGTCACACACGAAAGGTCTCAGCCTTTACGGACGGGAACATCCCTGGAGGCACTGATGACAACATCCCAATCTCAGTCACCTCCTCTCACGTCCCAGCCCCCCAAGTCCCAGCTCACAGCCTGCTGCTTATTTGGAAAGAACAATTCTTGGCTGCACTGACCGGAAGTGTGCCTCCTCCATGTCCCTTCCCTTCTTCTG